GGCTGTCAAAAGAACAAACAAATCTGTGTTGGAAGAAGCCAGAGTGTTCCTTGGAGCCCAGAATGGCCAAGCTTTGTCTCTCATACTTCAGACATATTGTCAGGAGGGACCAGTCGCTGGAGAAGGAAATCATGTTTGTTAAGATGCAGGGTCAGAGAAAAAGAGGAAATACCACAGAGTGATGGATTGGCAAAGTGACAGCATCAGTGGGCTCAAGCGTGGCAACAATTGTGAGATTGACTCAGGACTGAGCAGTGTTTCGTTCTGTTGTACATAGGGTCTATGATTTGGTACCAACTTGTTGGCACCTAACAACAACAACAAGCAAGAGACTGGAATGCTCATTGTTTGTTACTGTTCTATTACTATCGCCATAACCTTTTATCTGGCAGTGGCAGAGGTTGTACTCTTCTGTTTTTACTTTGTCTTTCTTTATCTTGGGCATTCTCAGAACCAGCCTCATTTGGCTAAGAGACATTAGCATCCATTAGGCAGAGATCTGATCTCAGAGATCTGATCAACACCAAGAGACTTCTGCAAAACTGCATTCTAGTAATCTCAGCATTTTCCCTTGTTCTCTCTACCTTAGGGTGTCAGCTGCTGCCTGTTTCCCGATAACTAATTAACCAATACCTTAATTTATGTTTGCTGAAATCCCTAGTGTGGTCTCTGTTTTCCAAGCTAGGCCCTAACTAACAATGGCAGCACCTGATGCCAAAAGGAGGTCCAACTCACTTGAATCTACTGGGTCCCAAGTCCCAAAGGAGCAGAGCAGCCTACCTGCTGTGGAGCCTGTTCTTGCTCTGTATCCCTGGATGTGCCCTTAATTGAACTAGTCTCCTGTATATGGATGCTCAGGTTGTTTCTAATCTTTTGTTAACTATAAACAATGCAATGGTGGTGGTGTTGGTAGTGTGCTGTGGAGTTGGTTCTGACTCATAGTGACCCTGTATAGGGTTTATGAGCCTGTAAATCTTTACAGGAGCAGAAAGCCTCATGTTTCTTCAGCAGAGTATCTGGTGGCTATGAATTGCTGACCTTATGGTTAGCAATCTAACACATAATCTGTTATGCTATTAAGTTTCCACAAACAATGCAATAAACAACCTTAAATATTTCTTTGTGTGTGAGATTAATTTATAAAAGTGGGGTTGCTTGGTTAAAAGGGATTGTCAAATTGTCCTTCATAGACCTTGTACCAATTTAGCTCCTCACATGTGATGAACAGAGATCTATCTATCTGTTTGTATGAGAAACAGAAATATCAACAAAGGAAAGAGGGAACCAGACAAGACACTCTTGTGTCATAAAACATCCTTGAATGATGCAAGGGAGAACATTTAAGTACAGCCTGAGATCTTAGGGAATTACCTGTGATTTAGACTTCATGGATTTCACTTAGAGTTTTTTTTGGAGAAAAGTAAGGCTATCATAGAAATGGGGGGAAAACTCTGTAAAGCACTTTGGTATTTATTTACTCGAGGGAAACACAAAAAATGAAGAGCTACACTTTATCACAGATTACTACAAGGTTTGGCAGTTGGAGGAGTCTTCATGCATCTGTCTAACAACAACAACAACAACAACAACAACAAAATCTATTGCCCTGGAGTTAAGACCAACCCATAGTGACCCTATATAGGACTTCCAAGACTAAGTCTTTACAGGAGCAGACAGCCTCATCTTTGTCACCTTGGGGTTAGCAGCCCAATGCTTAACTCACAAGTCCACCAGCCATGCTCAATGGAGCCTCAGTACCAAGCGTGTGAAGTTGTGGTGGTCAGCAGCAATAGTGACACCTACAGATGCATGGCTTTCATTGAAAGTACCAATCTGGCTGGCCATTTGAGATGTGCTAACAGTAGCATGTGAGACACCTTTTGTTGTTGTTGTTAGGTGCCACTGGGTTGGTTCCAACTCATAGTGACCTAATGTCAGAATAGAATATCATCTTCACAGTTTTTATTGTATTTGAGTCCACTGTAGCAGTCACTGTGTGAATTCATCTCACTGAATATCTTCCTCTAGTTCGCTGACTCTCCACTTTACCAAGCATGATGTCCTCTTTCAGGGACTGATCCTTTTGGATAACATGTCCAAAATACAGGAGACGAAGTCTCACTATTCTTGTTTCTAAGGACCATTTTGGCTGTACTTCTTCCAAGAAGATTTATTTGTTCATCTCATAGTCCATGGTGGTTTCAACATTCTTCACCAACATACCATAATTCAACTGCTTAGATTCCTCTAAGGTTTTCTGTATTCATTGTCTAACTTTCACATGCATATGAAGCAATTGAAAATACTAGGGCTTGGGTCAGGTGCACCTTAGTCTTCAAACTGACATCTTTATTCTTTAAGACTTAAAAGAGGTCTTTTGCAGCCACTTGCCCAATGCAATATGTCCTTTGACTTCTTGACTGCTGCTGCCATGAGTGTTGACTGTGGATCTGAGTAAAATGAAGTCTTTGACAACTTCATTCTTTTCTCTGTTATCATGATATTATTAATTGGTTCAGTTATGGGGACACCTTTTAAGGATTCCAGAAAAACATAGTTGGGACTTTGTAGGGTGCAGAGTCTGTTTTCTGCAGCAGCAGAGAGGGTGAGAGCTAGTTTCACATAGGTGATAAAACTTTCATTTACTAAGCTTGTCCCATTTTGCATTTTGCGATCTTTGTCTCACACACTAGGGTAGACTTTTGTTTTAAAATAGCAAAGCAGAAAATTCTTCCTCAAGCCTTTATATCTTTTAACAAACCTAGGTGGACTATTTGCATTGTCAGCACTAGACTTTGAACCACAAGGCCTGAAGTTCAAACCCCCCAGTTGCTCCTCAGGAACACCACACAGAGTCGCTGTGAGTCGGAACTGACTCGACAGGGGCACTATGAGTCTGAAGAGACATAATGGCTCTTAACAACCAACAATAATAAGGTGTGGCTAGGTCATTACTTAAGGAGCTCTGGTAGCATAGTGGTTACGAATCAGGCTGCTAATCTCACAGTCAGCAGTTCGAAACTACCAGCTGTTCTGTGGGAGAAAGATGAGACTTTCTGCTCTTGTAAAGATTTACAGCCTCAAAAACCCTATGCAGGGTCACTATGAGTCTGCACTGACTCCACAGCACGGAACAACAACAGCAGGTCATTCCTCTTACGTTCTTTGTTGTTGTTATTGATGTTGTTTATTCTATACCCAAACTGTAGTTATTTATCATTGCCCAAGCCAATCTGCTCACCTTAGCATTATGAGGTAACAAAGCTATCTGTACCAGAGCTGTGTCTCTCTTCCCAGTAAGGACTGGTTAGCTTTCCTGCAGAGCACTTTTGTTTTATGTTCCACTGTGTCTTGTTTGTGCCATTCTTAATTTACACAACAGAGATGCTGTCATCACCAATTAACATTTATCAAGAGCCCCCTGGATTCACGGCTGCACAGGGACTAATTTAATATTCTCTCTGTGTCAGATACCAGGTACCTCCTTCAAATGAATTTTTAAGCATCTCCTGGTGACAGAGAAGAATAGAGGTATCAATTAGTATTCAGGAATGCAAGGCTTTGTAGAACATGCTTAAAGAGCATCAAGGGTTTGTGTTCATATCTGAAAGCTTAAAAGAGGGTATACTTATATTCATTCTGCAAATGTAAAAGCAAAAGGTACTGTGTTAATTGTTCTTCCATATTCCCACATGTGCCCTTTGATCATCCCATATTCCTCTATTCATTGAATTCCTTCTTGAATTGACTTGATATAAGTGGCTTTAGGTTTTTGTCTTTTCTTTTTAAATTCAAGTCCTTCTACTCTTCAAGACTGAGTCTGAAATTTCTTCCTGAAGTTGTTTTCTAGTCATCTCTGTCCTCAGGAATAACTCCTTTCTCCGAATTCCTGAAGCCCTTCACATTTATACCTTTCACTTGGAAACTTAGCACATGATACATTGTATGTGTTCTACTGCAAGGTCAATTTGAACCCAAGGTCGGAGGTTTAAATCCCCTAGCCGCTCCTTGGAAACCCTATACAGGGTTGCTATGAGTCAGAACTGACTCAAGGCACCTAACAACAGCAACAATGAATAAGGATTATTTCCCCCAAGTAGGTTAGTATTTTTCCTAAACTTCTGAATCAGCAGTGTTCTGCCAATGGTAGAATCTCAAGAAAATACTTGATGATGATGACAGCCGTCTATTAAAGTCAGATGGAATTTTGAAAAGATGGGTGAGTTGAGACATCTATAAACGTTTACTCATTCAAGTTTATCTTTTGGGAGTGGAAGCCGGGGAAATTGTTTGAGAGCTAACATCATTGGAAGAAGACAACCGTTTGTTTTTCACGATTCAATAAATTTTCTTAACCTGCCTAAGTAATATTTCTTTCGTGAAACCCGCTTTGATGTGACAGTGTATGGTGGCTGTCGGTTGTAGGCAGTCATATTCAGGAGAATAGACCTGAACACTTTTAAAGTCAGAAAGACATTCGATCCCGTTATACATTTTGGAATTAAGAACACACGTTCATGTTTTAAGTTGTTAAGAACAGCGGCCCTGCGACGCCGGCTACATGATATTCCCTCAGAACTCAGACCCTTTGTTGCTCAGGATTCCACAATTCCATGAACCTTGGATTCTACTTTCAGACTGAACTCCCGCGGGGCTCCGCCTATTCTACGCTCGGAGCCTTATTGGCCAGCCTTCCTCCCTCCACATCCTGCCGCCTTCTGAATTTGGCACAGGAGGTGGGCGTCCTCCTTTCGGGCACTGATTGGTAGATTTTTAATGACGCCATAGAGTCTCCGAGTCCTATTGGTCCTTATGCTTGCAAATGGGCGGGGAATGACAGAATGACTGGACTCAAGGCGGGAAGTGCGGAATGCGCCGGCGCGTTGTCTGGGACGCCGGGCCGAGGCTTTTCCTGGGGAACAGGCTGTTGTCGCCCCGCCCCCTCGGGGCTCTTTGTCCCGTTAACTGTCGGAGTGGTGGGGGCGTCAACGCTGGGCGACATGCCGGTACGCTTTAAGGTGAGACCCGGCTTCCCCGGCCCGAAGGCAGGTGGGGCGAGCGGTGGCGGCGCTGATGGGGCACTGGGACACACTGGTTCTCTGCCCCTCTCCCTGGGCCCGAGCCTGCCGCGGACCTGTGATAAGCCTCTGCTTCTCTAGCTCCCTCTGCTCACACTAGCTTCTGAGTTGCTGCATGTGAAAAATAGATGGTATTGATACTCGTTTCTTTGGGGGGCGGGCTCGGGAAAAGGAGAGCTAAATGCGACTTGAGACCTCCCAGCCTCTTCACTTTAGGACTTGAAAGCGTATGTGTATGTGTAGCTCTGTGTCCTTAGTAAAGACAGTATAAAAAATGCATATTTTCACAGGTGTGCGTTTGATTGAAGGTTTGTTCATAGTTCCAAGTAGGTAGTAGCTGTCAGCGACTAGCTCCCTGCTTCTTAACTGTTCTCTGTAGATTTCCACAAACCCTGTCTGATCTGAGGGCTTGTTTCCAGCAGGGGAGGAGAGTTTGTGCTTGATTACTTTTATCAGATATTGAACAGGTTCTGGGTATATACCATGAACTATTCTCTACGCGGTGAGAGTTTAATTCAGATCATCTCTAATGATTAGGATTTCAATTGTCACCTGTTACCAGACAAGAGCTCAGACTTTGGAATCAGTCAGAAAGTAATTTCTCTGAGCCTGGGATTCCTGCTAGCTTCTTCATGAAGTGGTTGTGAGGATTAAAGGGGATAATGCATGTGAACTGCTTAGCACAGGGCTTGGTAAATACTAGCTATTGTTAAGGACTGCTTCTGTTTCATAATCATTTTTAAGTCTCTCAACTCAATAAAGGCTCAGAAATGATCTTTATTGACATCCATTTTTAAAACAATGTTTATTAATTGCTTGACACTCAAACTGTACTTTGTGTTACAGGGACTGAGTGAATATCAGAGGAACTTTCTATGGAAAAAGTCCTATTTGTCAGAGTCCCACAATCCCTCAGTAGGACAAAAGTACCCATGGGCTGGACTTAGATCAGATCAATTAGGTAAGTTGAGCCAATTAATGCCATGATAACTGGAATAAACCTGATCTAACTTTGCAAAACCATTTAAGAACTGGGAAGCAGTGTTCTATGGGCCTGATTAACTTATTCATTTAATATTGAGGCTTCCTGTGGGTCAAGATTGTTACTAGCTGCTATAAATATAGCTCTGAACCAGAAAAAGTTCCATAACTATAGGAGAAACAGTAGCAATCAGCTCAAGTAAAAAAGATTTTTATGTTGTTATATAAAGTTGTAGGGTAATGTGATAGATAACTTGAATGAAGGATAGATGAGGGGATCGATTCAGATTCCATGGTTAGGAAAGGCCCTTCTGAGGAGGTCATATTTGAACCTCAACTTGACTTGAAAGTTGAGAAGGGACAGGTCTGAGAAAGAGTGCTCCCAGGGTACTGGGGAATAGAAGCTTTAAATAGTTTGTCCGAGGCTTCCTGTAGGTGAGTGAAAGAACTTGATTTAAAATCAAGTCATCTGTGTTCAAACCCATGCGATAAGAGCTCATCTTCTAGTCGTGTCATCTCCTTTCTCTCGGTATCCCAGGGAAGTTTTACCAGAGTGTGGTGGAAGGGAAAGGAGACATTCTGACCTTTTTGTAACAGTGGGTTTAATTCTCCCTCGCTAGAATGTAGGATCTTTTACTTGCTACCCTGTTTGCATTCAGTATTTAACACAGGGCTTTGGCACACTTGTCTGTCAGTTTTTCATGCTGAAGTGGCTTGTGTACTACTGTGATGCTGGAAACTGTGCTACTGGTATTTTACATATCAGCAGGGTTATCAATAGTGGACAGGTTTCAGGTGCTTCCACAGAAGCGAGAAGAAGAGAGGCAGGCTACTTCTAAATGTCTCGCCACTGAAAACCTTATGAATAACAATGGAACACTGTCAGATAGCATCAGAATATTGAATATTGAAACATGGTGACGAGCACCAGAATATTGTCAGATATAGTGCTGAAAGATGAGCACTTTAAGTTGGAAGATACTCAAAGTATGACTGGGGAAGTGCTGCTTCCTCAAAGTAGAATTGACTGTGACGATGCGAATGGAGTAAAGCTTTTGGGACCTTCATTTGTTGATGGGACATAACTCAAAATGAGATGAAACAGCTGTAAACATTCATTAATAATCAGAACATGGAATGTATGAAGTATGAATCTAGAAATTTGAAAGTTAGTAAATGAAACACATAAAGATGAATATGGAAGGCATTAGTGAACTGAATTGGACTGGTATTACCTAGGTAATTTTGAATCTGGCAATCATATGGTTTATTAGGAATGACAAATTATAAAGAAATGGTGTCACAATCACCATCAAAAAGAACATTTCAAGACCTAACTTGAAGTATAATGTTGTCTGCAATAGAATATTCATTTACTTACCACTATAAACTACCAGCTGTTCTGCAGGAGAAAGATGAGGCTTTCTGCTCCTGTAAAGATTTACAGCTTTGGAAACCCTGTACAGGGTTGCTATGAGTTGGAACTAACTCCACGGCACATAACAACAATTCAAATTTACACACCAACCACTGAAGGCAGTGATGATGAAATTGAAGAATTCTACCAACTTCTTTAGTCTGAAATTTATCAAACATCAAGATGTATTGATAGCGACTGGTGATTGGAATGCAGAGGTTGGAAAGAGGAAGGATCACTAGTTGGAAAATATGGCCTTGGTGATAGAAATGAGGCTGGGAATGGTATGATAGAATTTTGCAAAACCAATGACATTCATTGCAAATATCTCTTTAAACAATATAAAAGGTGACTTATACACATAGACCTCACCAGATGGTCAGTGGAAATCAAATTGGTTACATCTGTGAGCAGTCAATGAGAGCCAAAATTTGACACTGAACATATTCCATCTGAACTTAGAAATCATTTCTAGAACAGATTTGTGTCATTAGACACTAATAATCGGAGACCAGAAGAGTTGTGGGATGGCATAAAGAACATCATACTTGAAGAAAGCAAAAGGTCACTAGAAGACAAAGAAGGAAAAGACCAAAATGGATGTCAGAAGAGATTCTGAAACCTGCTCTCCAGCATAGAGAGATACTAAAGCAAATGGAAGACATTAGGAAGTAAAAGAGCTGAACAGAAAATCTCAAAGGTCAGTTCGAGAAGTCAAACTCACAAATTATAATGAACTGCTAAAACACTTAGTGTTAGAAAACCAAAAGGGAAGAACATGCTCAGCGCTTCTTAAGCTGAAAGAACTGAAGAAAAAATTCAAGCCTCGACTTGCACTATTGAAGGATTCTGTACATGGTCATTATGAGTCAGAACCAACTTCATGGCACATAACCACCACCACCACCGTGCACAAAATATTGAATGATGCAAAAAGTATCAAAAGAAGTTAGAAGGAAAAAGAAGATAGAAGGACTACAGTGACTTATTGTACCAAAATAAATGGTTGATGTTCATTGCAAAGAACGAGTATCTGGGAATAGATGGAATACAAATTGAAATCTTTCAACAAACTGATGCAGCACTGGAGACACTTATTGTCTATGTCAAGAAATTTGGAAGACAGCTTTCTGGCCAACTGATTGGAAGAGATCCATATTTGTGCCAATTCCAAAGAGAAATTACCAAAACGAATGTGGAATTCATCAGACAGTATCATTAATATCACATGGAAGTAAAATTGTGCTAAAAAGAATTAAAAAAACCCAGCTGCAACAATACAATGATGGAACTGCTACAGATTCAAGGCAATTCAGACAAGGGCATGGAAGGAGGAATATCATAGCTGTTGGCCGATGGATATTGGCTGAAAACAGAATGCTAGAAAGATGTTTACTCGTGCTTTATTTGCTATGCAAAGACTTTTGTGTGGATTGTGACAAGCTATGGATAACAGCATTGTAAAGGATGGGGATTCTAGCACGCTTAATTGTGCTCATGAAGAACCTGTATATAAATGAAGAGGCAGTCATTCGAATGGAACAAGGTGATACTGAATGGTTTAAAATACAGAAAGGTGTGCACCAGGGTTGTATTCTTTCTCCATACTTACTCAGTCTGCATGCTGAGCAAATACTTTGAGAAGTTGGATTAAAGGAAGAAGAACATAGCATCAGGATTGGAAGGAATCTCATTAGCAACCTGTGATATGCAGATGGTACAACCTTGCTTAATGAAAGTGAAGAGGACTTAAAATATTTACTGATGAGGATCAGAGACCACAACCTTAAGTATGGATTGCACTTCAGTGTAAAGAGAACAAAAAAATTTTTTAGCACTAGACTAATAAATAACATCATAATAAATGGAGAAATGATTGAAGTTGTCAAAGACTTCATTTTGCTTGGATCTACTATCAACACTCATAGAAGATGCAGTCAAGAATCAAAGGATGTATTATTACAGTTAGACAGATCTGCTGCACAAGACCTCTTTAAAGCGTTCAAGAACAAAGATGCCAGTTTGAGGACTAAAGTGCACTGACCTAATCCATGGTATTTTCAATCATGTGCATGTGAAAGTTGGGCAATAAATAAGGAACACTGTAGAAGAATTAATGTATTTGAGTTATGGTATTGGAGAACATTATTGAAGGTGCCATGGATTGCAGGAAGAACAAACAAATCTGTGTTGGAAGAACTACAACTAGAATGTTCCTTAGAAGTCCGGATGACAAGACTTTGGACATGTTATCAGGAGGGACTAGTCCATGGAAAAGGGCATCATGCTTGGTAAAGTGGTGGTGGTCATGTTAGTGATTATGTGCTGTGGAGTTAGTTATGACTCATAACGAACCTGTATAGGGTTTTCGAGGCTGTAAATCTTTATGGGAGCAAGAAGTCTTGTCTTTCTCCTGCGGAACAGCTGGTCGTTTCCAACTGCTGACCTGTGATTAGCAGCCCAACTGGTAACCCACTACTCTACCAGAGCTCCTTTGGTAAAATGGAGGGTCTGCAAAAAACAAACAAACAAACAAAAAAACTAGGAAGACCTCCAAGGAAATAAATTGGCACAGTGGCATCACCATTGGGCTGAGGTGTAACAATTGTGAGGATGGCACAGGACCGGTCAGTGTTTCATTCTGTTGTGCATAAGTGTTTCATTCTGTTGTGCTATGAGTCAGAACCACCTCAGTGGCACCTAACAACAACAGCAACAACATTTTTAAAAGTAGTTTTTAAATGAACATAACCATGAGTTTGAATCTACTATAGCTGTCTGAGTTTTGGGAAATGGCATCTGTTTTACCAAGTGGGGGTAAGGATGCCTGTTGTGCAGGAGTCTTGGTACGGCCTGGCATATAGTCACACTAGTCTTTGGTGCCCTGTGTGTGATGTGAGAGAATGCCTGGCAAGACCCTCAAATATTCAATGTTTCAAGCCTGAAAAGTAAAAGATATATGTCTGGGGTACCAATCCTGGGAAGTTAATAGATGGCAAGAGTCTTTCTGGGAGTAGACTTGGAGAACAGTGGGAAAGGTGGTGTGAAATGGGGTGGCTCATTTAGGGTTTCTCTGGAGTGTAGGGAATCTTTGTCAGGGCCTGACTTCAGAGAGTGGGCGGCTCTTCTTCTCAGCCATGGTGGATAGAGTGCCCGTCTGCTCATAATTTTCTTTCCAAACAACCAGGAAGTCTACACATTTGCATTTCTGTTAAGTGAAGAGTGCACAAGGAATCCATCTTTAAAGTTTAGGCATCTCATTAAGAGCCTAGAGGGATATTTTGACACTGGGAATTGGTTAGCCAGGGAGTTGCTTCTAACATTTCAGTTGCATTTGAAGGGAGGTGATACAATGAGACCATAGGTGCAGGCACTGTGAAGATGGCACAGTATGAAGGCAGCAATGACCCTCCTAGGTCTAGGGAGTGAGAATGCCAGCATGTTCAGAAAGGGAAGGGTGAGTTTTACTAGGAACAAAGGCAATTTTACCTAGGACTGCCTATGTTGTTAAGTGTCGTCGTGTCAGTTCCGGCCCTTATCACCCCTGTACAGGGTTTCCAAGG